AAAAATCTCTCTTGTCAATCTATTATTTATGTTTCTACAAACATATATAATCTCTGCCCCATAATCAACTCTCATAGTCATTTACATGTAATTTCTAAGAACACCTTACACTTTATACATGTAAGTCATTGGTGTTAAAATCATACATCAACATATATTGACTTAATTGTTGAAAGTCTAGCTGATACTCCTCATCGACTTTTTAACCTATTTCCTTGCATAGAGTATAAAGGTGAAGATCTCAATCATTTTTTTTTTTCTTTTTTGCATAAATACATTAGTAATTAACATTGACAACTGGCAAGTTCAATAGACGGAAGCTATGGGCTTGACCAAAAAAACATAGAATCTATTGAGCTCAAGTTGCATCGTACTCTATCTTGTTAAAAAATCATATTATATTTTCGAAAGCTTCGATCCGATTTAACAAGTAGCCATCAACGTATAAGTTTACTTTGATCAAAGAAACGTGGTGACAGACTAGCATATCAACCAGCTGCAAACCTATATGAAACTTCAAAATCTTCTTGAAATCCAATATTTAAGGAGATTCGATGCCGTCCCTCTTTTGATCTGATCAAAGAGTTTGATAATCTACAAAATTCAGGAACAAGTAAGACACAACCTAGCTCCATGCAGCATCACACTCTTTGATACACAAAAGGTCATCCTTATTCTGTCTTTTTTTTTTTTTTTTTTTTTTCAGCCAGGTTTGATACATCGCGACTCTATTTTGATAAGATCATAAAAAAAAAAAAAAAAATTATTCTTTCATTTCGAAATTCAAATGTCAATAATTCCCATAAATTATCACAAAATTAGTTTCTAACCCGTCTGAAGATTTTCAATAAATCCTTGATCATGGAGTATATGTAAAAAAAATATTGCATATTAAACAAGAACATAGTAAAGCAGTGAATATAGTACGAGATTAGCATTGATTTCTAGTTTCTAGCATAAATAATTATTGAAATTTAATTAGTAAGGCAAATGGATATGTCATTTCCCTCGGAAATGACAAAAAAAATATAAGAAAGGTAATCTTTACTTTTGAGGAAGTGACCAAATCTTATTTGCTTAAGGGGAGATTAATTGGGATCTAATCAGCAACAAAAGTAATATAAGTTCATTTTAATCATCTTTATATTACTGATTTTATCTCTCTATTATTTGATAGTTAGCAGTATTTAGTGTATAGTGGTGATTTAGCATTAGAAAACGACGTCTTTTTTTGTTCTTTTTTTTTTTTTATGTCTGCTCAATTCATTTCCAGAGATTTGAAAGTTTAAAACAACCGGTCGAGTAAGAGCTCTAATAATCATTTTCTACAGTTGTGAAGACTCGAACCAGAAGACATATAATCCTCTTCTTGTTTTTTTACTACAAGGAGATTCGAACTTAGGAGATCATGTTAAATCCTCTTTTGCTTTTTATCATCGAGTAAACGATTTTTTTCCACCAAATAATGGCTTAATGACACTTTTCCACCCATATATTTAAAATACCATTTTACTATCAAATTTATATTTTATTTCCATTCCGATATCATTGCGACCCACATACCACCGTCATTCTCCCCCTACTATCACTCACCAAAACCCCTCAAACCCTACCTCGCCGACTTCAATCGTCGCAATCTAGCGATTAGGGTTGCGCAGCCGCTCCTCTCAATTCAAATTTCATCAATCCCACCACCAAAATTCAACCTTACACCACCAAAAGTTCACAGCCTTCTTTCTTTAAAGCCCAAACAGTCTGAACCTAGTTTACTCTCTATTTGCCATTGGAATATAAATTTGAGTAATAAGTAGTATTTTAAAATTCTTGGATAGGAAGTGTCATTAAACAATTATTTAGTGGAAAAAGTCGTTAACTTTTACATCAAACTACCCAGTGGGGGTTATTAGGACCTATGTCGAGAGCCCCTCATCACTCTTTGACCTTGTTTATTGCATATATAAGAGTCAAGGTAGAAGATTGGACTGATGGCCAGTTGAAATTTGAAGATTGATCACATTTGCCTAGTTAAGTAGTGTTTTGTCTTATTCTATAGTTATCTTTTTTTCCGCTTTTTTCATAAATACATCAGTAATTAACATTGACAATTTCAATAGAAAGAACCTATTAGCTTGACCAACCAAAAAAAAATCTTAAATATTGTAATTTCCAGGTTTCCATATGATTTAACTAGGAGCCATCAAATTATTTTATTTATTTTCATCAAAAGAACGTTGTGACAGAGTAGCAATCAACCTGCAAAACTATGAAAACTTCAAATCTTAACTGGAATCAGATTCAGGAGATTCTGATCCGCCCCTCAAACACTTTGATATCTGACAAATATGAGAACAATAATACACACCTAAGCTCCGTGCAGCATATCTGACTTTTTTTTTTTTTTTTTTCTTTTTTTTCAACCAATATACATGGTGACCCTACTTTGATATAACTAATATTAAACTTTCTATAATCAATAAATTTTCTTTAAAGTCTTGAAAGTTTCAGAAAAATTTCTTATTCCTTGAACTTCAATATTCAAATGTCATAATTCACATTAATAATCGCAAATTTATTTGAATTTCAATGAGAGAGTAGTTTAGGAAGCTCTATATATATTATATATATATATAATATATAACACCAAGTATGTATGATTTGTATGTAAAAAACTAAAATTATATCTCGGACATGGCACTCCACTTTCTGAGACTGAAGATTTTCAATAAGCATAATTGCATATTAATGGACGAAGTCCCTGAAAAACGCTATCCCACTAAGCCACGAGGCCCACCACAAGGGCTGCTCCAAGGCCCAATGAAACTCTACTAAATTCTTTTCACTTAAATAAGGGTTAAATTATAAAATAAATCAATAAAGCTAGGGACACCGAAAAACCTGCACCGAAATTGTGTACTGGCCTACGTGTAACATGCATCTGATTTTTTTAACAATTTTTTTCTAGTGAACGGCCGTCTATCAAATTTGGACGGTCGTTCACTCACATGGACGGGCGTCCCCATTTAAAGGACGCCCGTCCATAAATAAAATACAATAAAATTTTTTTATAAACATTTGAGACGACCGTCCATTTGTTATGGATGGCCGTCCATTACTTTTGGACGAGCGCCCGCAAATAAGGGACGCCCGTCCTTAACCAAAATATGAAAACAAAAAAAGTCTTTGGAGACTGCCGTCCATAAATTTTGGACGGTCGTCCCTTACGTTTGGACGGGCATCCATTCGTAATGAACGGCCGTCCATACTTTTAAAAAAAAAAAAATATTTCTAAACATGGATACTGCTTCTTCTTCTTCCTTTCGGAAATGTTCCATTTTCTTTCTCTTGGAATAATGGCGCCATGCAGCTTAGATGAAGCATGCGGCCCATGTCCTCCACTGTTATGAGTAGAATTGAAGGTGTGCTGAACCTGTCCCTTGTGTAATAACTACTCAACTTCTCCACTTTCGGTTCTCTTCTTCTTCTTCTTCTTCTCTGATCATCTAATAACTGCCCATGACTTTTAACTAATCAGACTTTTAAGTAAATGCATGCAGATATGCATATGGACCTATCATCTCCATACTCAATACTGATTAAGGCAAGAATACATTATTATTATTATTATCATCATCATTAGCATTGGAAGCGCTATCTTCCTCAGCCTTCACTTGCACCTCAGAAACAGAAGCTCCTAAAGCTCTCCTTTGCGTTGTTTTCTGAAAGAATGAGACTTTTGTGACGAGGAGCTTTTGACCTGGGCACAGGAACCCAAATCTAGCATTAACCTCTCATCCTCTACCTGGATGATGAAGGCTATGAGAGAGGTTCAGGCTTTTGCTCTGTCGTTGAAGAGTTAAAATTTGCGGCCACTCAATTTAGGCGCCTTCACAGTAGACAAGTTCAGCACACCTTCAGGTTCTACTCATAACAGTGGAGGACATGGGCCGCATGCTTCATCCAAGCTGCATGGTGCCGTTATTCCAAGAGAAAGAAAATGGAACATTTCCGAAAGGAAGAAAAAGAAGCAGTATCCATGTTTAGAATATATATTTTTTTTTTAAAGTATGGATGGGCGTCCATTCGTCCAAACATAAAGAATGGACGCCCGTCCAAACGTAAGGGACTATCAAGGCAATTGAAGAAAAACCAGTGACAACTCAAGCGCCAAACCAGTGACAACTCAAGCCCAGCTGCCACCATTAATATCAACAGATTTTGTGCTGTGCCTCTCATGATTCTAGGATCAGTTTTTTATTTTTTATGTAAATACTGTTTTTATTGTGATTGTAAATTTATTTTTCAGTTATGATTGTAAATTTATTTTTCAGTTATATATCTTTGAATGCCTAAAATTAGGCCTCTCGGGTTGTATAAATATACAGAGCATGAATAGAAATAAGTGTGAGTTCAAAATACAAATCCATAGCAGTGTAACTTCTCTATATGGTATCAGGAGAGCCAAACCTCTAACGAGTATCTTCCATTCTTGCTTTCTGCAACATGGCTGCCATCCCTGCATCTACCAACGATTCACCCATCATCACCATTAATGCCGCAACCACCATCAACGAAAAACTCACCCCTACTACCTTTCCTCAGTGGAGGGCGCAATTTGAAGCACTGCTCACTGGTTATGATCTCATTGACTTTGTCACCGGTGTAAAAAAATGCCCACCCATTGATGCATCGAACTCCGCTGTCTCCAAAGCCGAGAACTCCCACTGGGTTCGCCAAGATAAACTCATCCTCCACGCCATTCTTGCTTCCACATCCACTACCATTACTCCCCTTCTTGCTGCATATAAAACATCCCATGATGCTTGGACAGCACTTACCCNAAAAAAAAAAAAAATGTTTAAACCTTTTGCAGCCTTGATAACATGGAATTCCTAATAATTATCCCGGAAATCCGACCCGACGAATCCTATATATGATATATATATGGGCCAGCAATCCAGCCCAAAACCTATTGGGCTTAATGTGTGGGTTTAAGCCCAAACATTAATTTCCGACCTCTCCCTAAACCCTAATCCACCAGAATTCTCTCACTCTCCTTCGCTTAGCAACTCCCACTCTCAGCTGCAGCCATGGGTAACCTCTAAGCTTCAGTCAATCTAAACTTCTCACCTCTCTTCTTTAGAATGTAAACGGTGTCGTTTCATAATTGATTATTTATTTGTTTATTATTAATATAAATTTTTTTCTTTTTCGTGGCAGTGTCGACCGTGAATGATGCTGCATCGGGTTCTAAAGTAGAAAAACATGCATTCTCGGACCGGGTAACTGTCCGGACAATACTGACCCGACCTGACGGTGGCGCTGGTCTGGCGGGACAGCGTGTTCGGGTCGGAGGATGGGTGAAAACGGGCCGTGAACAGGGCAAAGGGTCGTTTGCATTTTTGGAGGTGAATGACGGTTCATGTCCGGCGAATTTACAAGTTATCGTGGACGCTTCTGTAGCGGATTTGGGCCAGTTGGTGCCAACTGGCACTTGTGTGTCTGTTGAGGGTTTGCTTAAAAACCCGCCTGAGGGAACCAAGCAGAAGATCGAGCTTCGGGTCGAGAAGGTGATTGATGTGGGCACCGTTGACCCCGCTAAGTACCCGATTCCTAAGACTAAGCTCACGCTCGAGTTCTTGAGGGATCGCATTCATTTCCGACCCAGGACTAATACGGTATCTTCTCACTTTCTTTTATGCCGTTTGACTTCATAAATTTTGGTTGATCAAATTTATGCATTGAACTGTAAATTTTGTAAAACTTATTAATTATAATTGAAACTTATTAGATTTAAATATAACATGTTAGAATTATAATTGTAGTAGTTCCAATTTTGAATTTGATACATGCCACTAGGGTTTTGTTTGATACGGTTTATCCGAGTAGAGCATATAGAAAAAGAGACAAAGAGCTAATTTGAGTAGCGCTTAAAGAAAGTATAGCTTTTATGAAAAATTTATCAGTTATTGGGCTAGGAAAATGTTAAAGAAATATATGGTATTAATTTACCAAGGGATTTAATAGTAGAGAATAGATTAGTAAAATTTGCAAAATAAAATAGGGATATTTTTGAAATTTTAACTCTTTAAATAAGCTCAAATTTTGAGCATTTGTTGTAAAATACCTTATTTAAAATCCTATAAGCACTTTTGAATGTAAAGAAACAACCTAAAATAAATTTTAAAAGTGCTTAGCGGCTTCAAATAAGCTATTTTGGCTAGTAGACAAGCCCAACCAACCGAACTCTTATTTTTTTTTAAAGATTTAAATTTTTTAATTTCCGTGGAAATTTCAGATATCTGCTGTTGCACGAATCCGAAATGCACTTGCTTATGCCACTCATACATTCTTTCAAGAGAATGGTTTTCTCTACATACACACACCGATTATCACTACCAGTGATTGTGAGGGAGCTGGTGAAATGTTTCAAGTAACAACCTTGATTAGTGAGGCTGAGAAGATAGAGAAGGAGCTGATCAAGAATCCTCCTCCCACTGAAGCTGATGTAGAAGCTGCCAAGCTTGTTGTCAAGGAGAAAGGAGAGGCTGTTGCCAAACTCAAATCTGAAAAAGCAAGGAAGGAGGCAATTAGTGCTTCTGTTGCTGAACTTACAAAAGCTAAGGAGAATCTTGCAAAGGTGGAGGAGAGATCAAAGCTTAAACCGGGAATTCCTCAAAAGGATGGAAAGATTGATTATTTGCAAGATTTCTTTGCTCGCCAAGCATTTTTGACTGTTTCTGGCCAACTGCAAGTTGAAACTTATGCATGTGCTGTTAGTAATGTTTATACATTTGGACCAACTTTTCGAGCTGAAAACTCCCATACTTCAAGGCATTTGGCAGAATTCTGGATGGTGGAACCTGAAATAGCTTTTGCAGATCTTAAGGTATTTTAGACTAAAGAATGCTTGGTGAATGTTAGGTGTTTGAGAAGCTTTGAAGTTCTATAGAAATTTGTTTATTGTATGAGGATACATATAATTCTGTGCTTGATGAGTCTTACACTCCTAATGTAATGGATTGTCGAACACATAAGACATTTATTTGCGGCTATAAGGCTTGTTTGCATCAGTATACCTCAAACAATCACCTTTACACATCCCAGTTTTGGCATTGGAAAACAGAATTATTGAGTTGGGAGGGCTAGATTGTTGGCTTATTAATATCGCTTTCTGTTTAGCTGGATATAGCGGGGGATTCTATCTAGCTAGTCAGGATATTTTGTGGATGCATAAGGAAAAAATTTTGTCAACATGTGAAATGCTCTCCTGGAATACAGATTATCTATTCTTGACATCTTATGTGCTTATATATCTACAAGGACTCTTTCTGGGCTTCTATAGTTGTTATGGGGAGTATCTTATTTCCGAGAATCTGGGGATTTAAGGATAAGTTACCCTTTTTTTCTTCATTGTAACTATGGTTATGTTATCTTTTTAGAAATTAGCTTGATTGTGTTTCTTGAAATGCTAATGTGTAATCATGTGGACTGGTGCCCATCCATATATGAGTTTTTGAAGTACATTGGGGATTCATGATTATGAATAGTTTTCTTTTTATTTGTAGGATGATATGAACTGTGCGGAGGCATATGTAAAATTTTTATGTCAGTGGTTACTGGACAAATGCCTTGATGATATGGAATTTATGGCTAAAAATTATGACAAAAGCTGCATTGATCGTCTGAGAATGGTTGCTTCAACTGCATTTGAGCGAATATCATACACAGAAGCAGTGGATCTGCTACTGGAGGCTGTGAAAGAGGGAAAGAAATTTGAGAACAATGTGGAGTGGGGGATTGATTTAGCATCTGAGCATGAAAGGTTCGCAAATCGTTTTAATTTATGGTCCTGTCAGCTTTTAAGTGATGGTATTGACGCCTTGGTTTGGTTACTGTTGCAGATACTTAACAGAGGTTAAATTCCAGAAGCCTGTTATTGTGTATAACTACCCAAAAGGAATCAAAGCATTTTATATGAGGGTCAATGATGACTTAAAGACTGTGGCTGCTATGGACGTCCTTGTACCAAAGGTGAGCTTTTTCTTCTAAATGTTTTAAGCGATGCTTACCTTGTGCTTTGTTACAATATTTTTACTAGAATGATGTTCAAATATTTTGTTAGGGGCATATATGATACGGATTCTGTTATATTACAGGTTGGAGAGTTGATTGGGGGAAGCCAAAGGGAAGAGCGCTATGATGTTATTAAGAGCAGGTATGGAAAATGAGGTCCATAGTTGGTACTTGTCATAGTACTTAAAATTTGCACTAGACTGCTTTTCTCTCCTTTTGGTCCTTGCTATACAAGTTTCTATGACGAGCATTACGTGTGCGTATTTAGGTCAAGATCTTGTTGCATGATTATAATTGACTGCTAATGAGCCATTTTTTGTGGGATGCTTACAGAATAGAAGAGATGGGGCTGCCTCTTGAGCCATATGAGTGGTACCTTGATTTGCGTCGCTTTGGGACAGTGAAACATTGTGGATTTGGTTTAGGTTTTGAACGGATGATTCTTTTTGCAACGGGCATCGACAATATTAGAGATGTTATTCCCTTCCCCAGATATCCAGGAAGAGCAGATCTCTGATCTTTAGTCCAAAAATACACGAGGATGTTAGTATTTTGCATTACAATTGGACCCCTATTTACCATGGCATAGTTTTTATCCTATAACAAGAAACAAGGAAATGATAGCATTGAAATTGATATTTTTACCAGCAGAAATCCTATACCTGTTAACAATGCCACTTATTATATTGCAATTTTTGTGATATTGCTTAATAAATATCTTTACCGTATTTGTTGATAATCTGATACCCTTTCGTTGGCTTATTGAAAATAATTCCTTGATTTTTTTTTTCTCTGTCGTTTNATATGGGCGCACATAATCTTTTGAAAAAGTCCGTCTTAATGAAACCTTTCTACTTCACAAAACAAAGAAAGAGAGTTAACGAATCATCAAGTTTTGTAAAAGTTGAAGAGGATGGAAGCCATTTTACTCAACTAAAACTAGCTTTCTCACCAAATATATAAGTATTTGGTGAGACTTTTTCTCAAACACATCATGTGCCAACTGCATTGCACTTCAAAAAGTAAAGTAACATACCCATTTCCAAGCAATATAACTATATAATACCAAACCAATACATTTACAATTGAGGGATTTTTTGCCAAAAATTTGGATTTTAAAGTTAGGACTTGAAACATGACACTAGAACATGTATATCATAGTACTAACACATTTGATAATGTCGAAAATAGGGCTAGGCTTGACAATCTAATCATTTTTAAGTTGTGTCGTTTTCTAAAGTCTATTAATTATGCAATTTATACAAGATTTTAACCATTTACACTGTTTTAATCCAATAATTTAAAAATTGTGTTAAAATTTGTCTAAACTAAATGGCGTCCTTCAACATGTATAAACAAAATACACATAACATGGAATGTTTAAACTAACTATCATTAGAGTGTCTAGTGGTAAAGAGTAAAAAGAGATTTCATGAGTTTTTGAGTTCAAGTCCCCTTAGACCCTAATAGGGATGACTATTAAGGGACTTACTTGGCTGTTAATTTTAGAACTTCGAAAGATTAATTGAAGTGTGCGTAAGCTGACCCAGACACCTCGATTATAAAAAAAAAAAAAAAAAAAATGTTTAAACCTTTTGCAGCCTTGATAACATGGAATTCCTAATAATTATCCCGGAAATCCGACCCGACGAATCCTATATATGATATATATATGGGCCAGCAATCCAGCCCAAAACCTATTGGGCTTAATGTGTGGGTTTAAGCCCAAACATTAATTTCCGACCTCTCCCTAAACCCTAATCCACCAGAATTCTCTCACTCTCCTTCGCTTAGCAACTCCCACTCTCAGCTGCAGCCATGGGTAACCTCTAAGCTTCAGTCAATCTAAACTTCTCACCTCTCTTCTTTAGAATGTAAACGGTGTCGTTTCATAATTGATTATTTATTTGTTTATTATTAATATAAATTTTTTTCTTTTTCGTGGCAGTGTCGACCGTGAATGATGCTGCATCGGGTTCTAAAGTAGAAAAACATGCATTCTCGGACCGGGTAACTGTCCGGACAATACTGACCCGACCTGACGGTGGCGCTGGTCTGGCGGGACAGCGTGTTCGGGTCGGAGGATGGGTGAAAACGGGCCGTGAACAGGGCAAAGGGTCGTTTGCATTTTTGGAGGTGAATGACGGTTCATGTCCGGCGAATTTACAAGTTATCGTGGACGCTTCTGTAGCGGATTTGGGCCAGTTGGTGCCAACTGGCACTTGTGTGTCTGTTGAGGGTTTGCTTAAAAACCCGCCTGAGGGAACCAAGCAGAAGATCGAGCTTCGGGTCGAGAAGGTGATTGATGTGGGCACCGTTGACCCCGCTAAGTACCCGATTCCTAAGACTAAGCTCACGCTCGAGTTCTTGAGGGATCGCATTCATTTCCGACCCAGGACTAATACGGTATCTTCTCACTTTCTTTTATGCCGTTTGACTTCATAAATTTTGGTTGATCAAATTTATGCATTGAACTGTAAATTTTGTAAAACTTATTAATTATAATTGAAACTTATTAGATTTAAATATAACATGTTAGAATTATAATTGTAGTAGTTCCAATTTTGAATTTGATACATGCCACTAGGGTTTTGTTTGATACGGTTTATCCGAGTAGAGCATATAGAAAAAGAGACAAAGAGCTAATTTGAGTAGCGCTTAAAGAAAGTATAGCTTTTATGAAAAATTTATCAGTTATTGGGCTAGGAAAATGTTAAAGAAATATATGGTATTAATTTACCAAGGGATTTAATATTAGAGAATAGATTAGTAAAATTTGCAAAATAAAATAAGGATATTTTTGAAATTTTAACTCTTTAAATAAGCTCAAATTTTGAGCATTTGCAGTAAAATACCTTATTTAAAATCCTATGAGCACTTTTGAATGTAAAGACACAACCTAAAATAAATTTTAAAAGTGCTTAGTGGCTTCAAATAAGCTATTTTGGCTAGTAGACAAGCCCAACCAACCGAACTCTAATTTTTTTTTTTTTAAAGATTTAAATTTTTTAATTTCCGTGGAAATTTCAGATATCTGCTGTTGCACGAATCCGAAATGCACTTGCTTATGCCACTCATACTTTCTTTCAAGAGAATGGTTTTCTGTACATACACACTCCGATTATCACTACCAGTGATTGTGAGGGAGCTGGTGAAATGTTTCAAGTAACAACCTTGATTAGTGAGGCTGAGAAGATAGAGAAGGAGCTGATCAAGAATCCTCCTCCCACTGAAGCTGATGTAGAAGCTGCCAAGCTTGTTGTCAAGGAGAAAGGAGAGGCTGTTGCCAAACTCAAATCTGAAAAAGCAAGGAAGGAGGCAATTAGTGCTTCTGTTGCTGAACTTACAAAAGCTAAGGAGAATCTTGCAAAGGTGGAGGAGAGATCTAAGCTTAAACCGGGAATTCCTCAAAAGGATGGAAAGATTGATTATTTGCAAGATTTCTTTGCTCGCCAAGCATTTTTGACTGTTTCTGGCCAACTGCAAGTTGAAACTTATGCATGTGCTGTTAGTAATGTTTATACATTTGGACCAACTTTTCGAGCTGAAAACTCCCATACTTCCAGGCATTTGGCAGAATTCTGGATGGTGGAACCTGAAATAGCTTTTGCAGATCTTAAGGTATTTTAGACTAAAGAATGCTTGGTGAATGTTAGGTGTTTGAGAAGCTTTGAAGTTCTATAGAAATTTGTTTATTGTATGAGGATACATATAATTCTGTGCTTGATGAGTCTTACACTCCTAATGTAATGGATTGTCGAACACATAAGACTTTTATTTGCGGCTATAAGGCTTGTTTGCATCAGTATACCTCAAACAATCACCTTTACACATCCCTGTTTTGGCATTGGAAAACAGAATTATTGAGTTGGGAGGGCTAGATTGTTGGCTTATTAATATCGCTTTCTGTTTAGCTGGATATAGCGGGGGATTCTATCTAGCTAGTCAGGATATTTTGTGGATGCATAAGGAAAAAATTTTGTCAACATGTGAAATGCTCTCCTGGAATACAGATTATCTATTCTTGACATCTTATGTGCTTATATATCTACAAGGACTCTTTCTGGGCTTCTATAGTTGTTATGGGGAGTATCTTATTTCCGAGAATCTGGGGATTTAAGGATAAGTTACCCTTTTTTTCTTCATTGTAACTATGGTTATGTTATCTTTTTAGAAATTAGCTTGATTGTGTTTCTTGAAATGCTAATGTGTAATCATGTGGACTGGTGCCCATCCATATATGAGTTTTTGAAGTACATTGGGGATTCATGATTATGAATAGTTTTCTTTTTATTTGTAGGATGATATGAACTGTGCGGAGGCATATGTAAAATTTTTATGTCAGTGGTTACTGGACAAATGCCTTGATGATATGGAATTTATGGCTAAAAATTATGACAAAAGCTGCATTGATCGTCTGAGAATGGTTGCTTCAACTGCATTTGAGCGAATATCATACACAGAAGCAGTGGATCTGCTACTGGAGGCTGTGAAAGAGGGAAAGAAATTTGAGAACAATGTGGAGTGGGGGATTGATTTAGCATCTGAGCATGAAAGGTTCGCAAATCGTTTTAATTTATGGTCCTGTCAGCTTTTAAGTGATGGTATTGACGCCTTGGTTTGGTTACTGTTGCAGATACTTAACAGAGGTTAAATTCCAGAAGCCTGTTATTGTGTATAACTACCCAAAAGGAATCAAAGCATTTTATATGAGGGTCAATGATGACTTAAAGACTGTGGCTGCTATGGACGTCCTTGTACCAAAGGTGAGCTTTTTCTTCTAAATGTTTTAAGCGATGCTTACCTTGTGCTTTGTTACAATATTTTTACTAGAATGATGTTCAAATATTTTGTTAGGGGCATATATGATACGGATTCTGTTATATTACAGGTTGGAGAGTTGATTGGGGGAAGCCAAAGGGAAGAGCGCTATGATGTTATTAAGAGCAGGTATGGAAAATGAGGTCCATAGTTGGTACTTGTCATAGTACTTAAAATTTGCACTAGACTGCTTTTCTCTCCTTTTGGTCCTTGCTATACAAGTTTCTATGACGAGCATTACGTGTGCGTATTTAGGTCAAGATCTTGTTGCATGATTATAATTGACTGCTAATGAGCCATTTTTTGTGGGATGCTTACAGAATAGAAGAGATGGGGCTGCCTCTGATGCCATCTGAGTGGTACCTTGATTTGCTGTCGTTTGGGACAGTGAAACATTGTGGATTTGGTTTAGGTTTTGAACGGATTATTCTTTTTGCAACGGGCATCGACATATTAGAGATGTTATTCCCTTCCCCGATATCCAGGAAGAGCAGATCTCTGATCTTTAGTCCAAAAATACACGAGGATGTTAGTATTTTGCATACAATTGGACCCCTATTACCAGGCATAGTTTTTATCCTATACAAGAAACAGGAAATGATAGCATTGAAATTGATATTTTTACCAGCAGAAATCCTATACCTGTTAACAATGCCACTTAATATTGCAATTTTTGTGATATTGTAATAAATATCTTTACCGTAATTGTGATAATTCTGATACCCTTTCGTTGGCTTATTGAAAATAATTCCTGATTTTTTTTTATCTGTCGTTTCCATGCTAGCGTAAAGGGGTGTCATGCTACCGTGCCTTTTAATGGGATTTGAAAAATGTAAAGGAAATCGTTGCAGTGAAATTGATCATGCCCTGTAAATAGGCTGGCAAAACCCGGGTCAGGTGGGAATCCAGACACTGACT